TGATTTTTTGCAATAAATCGATTTCACATCAATTTACAAAATCAACGACATATCAATGCAACTTTTTCCATTGTTGTTACACGGTCATTAACCTCATGATTACGGATTTACTTGGAACATTTATTACCTACTTAACTAAATCATGATAAATAAACAAATCGCTACTGAACACATTTTTCTTGTTAAATACACAAACCATTAAGACGCCTATACTCATCACAAAGTGTTGTTGGTAATTCAGTGATTTTCGATGTAATAGCATCATTACACAAAGAGGTGCAAGTTGCCATTACTTCATAACAATGAAAGCAAAGTGTGAAAAATTTCTGGAAATGTAGACAAAATAACAAAACTCTGTTAGCATAGCACCACCCATATTTTACAAATAACCTTGAGAAGATTTAAAAAATGTAACACCAAATATGCAAATTATAGAGTGGTAATAAATCCATAAATAATGTTGACATAAAAGGTGTGTCACATGCAGATGATTAACGTGATTATATTAACTTTCCTTGGTATTGGCACGAATCATCCATACTTGAATAAACGAAAACACCGCCGCCATCATATTGAGTTTTTAATGGAATTGAAAGAGGCAGAGTTAATGAGATAATTATTAAGAGAATAGTTGATATAAACAACCGTGGAACGGCATCAAAGGTAGGCAAAGCGGCGAAGACACGAAGGCAATAAGGCATAACCGTAGTTTAGCTAGATCAAGAAACTACATAACCTTTCAAGGTCGCATTCCACATACCTGCGGAATTCATGATGAATGTAATTATAGGACCCCGAGCAGGTAAAAACCAGAACAACATCAAAACATTGTCGACCCTTAGTATAAAACACGAATCTAACAATTACCCTCCCGAAAACCTAATCAATCCGATCTATTTTTAAACAACACCTACAAGATGCGAGCTTTGAAGTCATACATCGGATTCCTGAAGGGTCGTCCGAAGCCGAAACACGACTTCCAATCCAATCTGATGTTTATGGTTAACATCGAGTGTAAGCCATGTATGCACGGGTGGGTGTCACATGTAACAGACAACTCTAGGAAGTGGTTACGAGATAGGTTATGGCATTTTTTTGTCCTAGAATAACTCAACTAGATGTTATTTCATATCCTCAAACCGGATTATTTTTTTTGTAAAGATTATTCTCAAACCGCTTCTGATGCGGTGTTGCAACGCGACAAAGACAGACTGTCATTAATTTTTAAATCGTCTTTGTCTTTAAATGCCAACATGGAAAATTAACATTGCGCATATCTCACGCACCAATTAACTACCGGCTACGGACTACCAGCCAATCAAATTTAACTAGCTAACTTCACTCGGAAATTGCTAAACAATAACAAGAAGGCGTCTACAAACACGGTAAACATATTAAAAATCTGAAAGAACTGGACTTGACCTGGAGCGTGACAGTTTTATAAATAAATAGCATATTTAATTGAATCGTTTCATGTAGACGAAACATGTCGTTCTACGTGGAAACGATGATATAATGACATAGAAAAAATTGATTATTTATTTGAACGGAAAAATAATGATTCACGGATCCAAAAAAAGACGTGAAAGATGGTCCATTGAAAATTAACCATCACACAAACTCATGTGTTTTCCGAGTCACGAATATTATTAGAAGACTATTTCTAAATTTAAAACATTTATACCCACTTTGCGAAAAAGAAACAAAGACATTTCCTGTCTGTCTTAAAACGACCAATAAAGACTAAGTCCAATTTACACAATGAAACGTTTGTTTTTAATTAGTTTAACCAATTTACTTCCAATTAGTATACTTAAGATAGTCACCTCCCAATTAACGGTGAATGCCCCACATTCCCAACGAAAGCATTTTTAAAATGTGTAGACAATTTCTATATATATATATATTATTTTTATTGAGAATATAAGCCAACAATGTCAATGTTGAATAGGGTGTGTAACATTACACGGTTTAGATGTATTTATAAACCTATTTTAAATAGAATTCGTTAACCTTGTGAGTAGAAGATAAAACTGTATTTTTGGATATGTTGTGTTATTTAATAGTGGATTAAAACTAACGACATTTTTTCAGTAATTATAGTGCCATTTACAGTATTATAATTATAAATCTCTAGTCGTAAGCTTGGATAGGTACATGAAACATGACAAATCCAGCATTTAAATTTTTTCACACTTAATGTGACTGGTTTGTTATTTAACAAGACAAGATATTTTGACATGGATGCAACCGTCATTTTTTTTAGCAATATTGCGAAATCCGCATTGTTTAAGTGTCGCCGTATTAAGATTAGAATCGTGTTCTGGAGGTTGTTTTGATAAAGATAAAATTGGATAAAATATTTGTAAGACGAGTTTTCGACTCGACAATGTCACTAAAAATAAACATCAAAAGATACGAGAATGAAGGAAAAAAATCCTAAAACTGGAACAAACATATGCATGAAAGCTTAGTTACAGTGGTAATCTTGTAACAGAGAAAAGCCTCATGCAAGTCAAACATACGGGTAAAATATCAAGCGTTTATATTTTTATTATGTCGTGATTTAAATTCCTTCCTTTTTTATTTTGTTTATAAAAAAAGTTGTTCCATCCTCATCTCTCTCTAACGCCGAAGCAGTTTCGATTTTTTTAATATCTGCATATCTTTAAGCTGGTTTTTGAAAATAAAAATCCCGACTCGCCGATAGGTGGCGACTATTTAAACACACCCTGGATGACAAATAGTACGCCATTAATATTGATGAAGTTGAATTCGGCGTTATTGCGTGCGTTTATTTAAAAGTGCGAAAATATTCGCACGGAATACAAAAACAAAACAATACCGACATTCCGAATTAACATGGCACTGGGAAGGTTATAAATTCTATTCATGATCGTTCACATTTTTCCACACGGTTTTGAACCGCCATTCTCGCCAATTTACCGACTTTCTATTTCCCAAGAAAAGTGAAATTTTGCTTCTTAAACAATCAGCCGACATTAAGACTATAGATTCGACCTTCGACTTTGTCGGTTTTACGCAAAAATTGTATTAATATTCATCATCCGAGTCACGTGGCTGATCACTAGAAAGATTGCAACCCATTTTCCAGTTATGCGCATCCCGCGACCTCCGCCACACCCTTTCTTGACTGCATTTTGTCGCCACAAATGAATTAATTAGACCAAAACGCAATAACACGAATTATTACAAAATTCGCTCTTAATTAACTAGAAAAATCGTCTCAATAACTCCGATTGTCTGATTGCGACAACAAGCCGTTCTATTTCCTATTAAAATAAACAAACCGTAAAAACGGAATTGAAACTCAAATTTTAAGCCTTATTATTCTAGGTTCGCTCGGCCTAGTTTGACGATTCGTCTCAGCCAAGCGTCGATAATTTTTCCCAAAATTAGAATAAAATTCTCGCAGATAAAGAGCGGTGCAATCAGATTAGTGGAATGAATTCGAGAGGAGATAAAATCAGTTGTGATATTGTCAGACTCGACGTGGAAATAGAACGTTTTTTTTTCGTTTCGTGTAGTAAATCACGTATAATAAACAAACGCTTCTGTTCAACAAAATAAGAATAACTTGTCGATCCTCTTGAGGTAAAGAGAGAACATTGAACCCTCGCATTCTGAGGGAACGCTGTCGTCTTAACATTATTATTGTAATTCAAACTATTTACAATAATATTCAATCGGCCATTCCTCGGATTATTTAAATAGGTTTATCCCCGGGGAAAGACATGACGGAGGCACTCCCCCCGTACCCCGAGACCCAAATGCCCAGTCGACCTTTGTGCGAATTCACCGGAACCGGATGACAAGTCGATTTCGCACCTGATTTAAGTTACGACAAATAATCCCTTCGTAACACCTTTCAGTAAATAAATCATTTTTACCAAGCTCAAGGTCATTTTTAAATTGCCTAAAAATCCTGCTGACCTTCAAGCGGCTCTACTGATTGCCCTTTAAATTCAGTCATTACGTCGCGATGCAGTTGAGCCGGTTGAAAAAAATACCCATTTTAAAACAAATATTAGAAACGACTTTTTATATTCGTCCGAAAATGGAAACGAGTTTATAAAATTCCAATTGTTTATGTAATGCCCCACATTAAGACTTGTTCCTTAATTAATTTTCCCTAGAGGCATACGGCATTTAAAGGGAAAAACGCAAAAACTGCGATTTTTTTTCCGTAGTTTCGGTACCACTTTCCATTCTAATTGTTTTATTATTTGTGTCTGCCGACAATTCGTTCCGAATACAGTAGAAGTGATCGGTAATAAATGAAAGATCATCAATTAATTATCGGTGACCAAGAAACCTAAAATTTTACCCAGTGACATTTATGACCCGTGGGGTTTCTAGCTATTAAAGCAAATTGTCAATTTTGACATGACACTTGACGTATCTTAATTTTGCATTTAAAGATAAATTAACATTTTGTAATGTAATTTGCGTTTCCCAACACCGGCCGTGTTTTTGACGACGACCTATTACAAAACCGATTTAATTTCCTGTATTTTGTTATTTCCCTGACATATTCTGCAGGAGTTAATCTAAAACGGCCTTGGTCAGTTGCACGATTACGTATTAAACAAATGCATACCTGAAGATTACCAATCATCATTATTTCCCGCAAATGTCAATAATTAAAAGCTCACAAGTAAAAAAATTGTTATCTGTAGGTAAATCTAAGCTCAGCAAGCGTGCTGTTAAAAGATAAACCTGAAGAAATTTCATACCATTCCAGGTAAAATCTCCAACAAATCCTTTTTGGTAGCACTTTCTTCACACACAAAATTTGATTACTTATTTGCTAACAAGTTAAACACCTCCTTGCGATAACAAATCACCTTTCAACGATAATACGGCTCAAACAAATAAATACACTCGAATTCCAAACACGAGTTGAAATAAGTGTCCAACATATCAACCCGCCACTCAACAACTCCAAAATCTCAACCTCAACCAGCTCACATCACTGAAGAACTCGACACATGCGCAACGCGGCCCCCCTCAAACACCCTAAACGTCAAACCAACATCTAACCTAAAAAATTAAAATTAACAAATTCATGATTTCACAGAAATTCTGTCATGTCATTTCCCAACAAGTCAAGATCGCAAAACGTCCGATCTCCGACTACAACCAATTCCAGAAGGTTTTAAATCAAGCTCGGAGTATTGTCGCCCTCACAGGGGCCGGAGTTTCAGCAGAATCGGGGATTACGGTGTTTAGGGGAGCTGGGGGACTCTGGCGCTCACACCGAGCCACTGATTTGGCCACTCCGACCGCGTTTAGGGCCAACCCTGCTTTAGTATGGGAATTTTATCATTATAGAAGAGACGTTGCCTTTAATAGCCAACCAAACAAAGTAAGTAAATTTCTAGACCAATAAATCATACAAATTGGTGTTCTAGGCTCATAAAGCCTTAGCCAAGTATGAAAAAATTTGTAAAGAACAAGGACGGAATTTTCACGTGATCACACAAAACGTTGATGGTTTGCATAGGCGAGCGGGTTCTGAAAACGTCTTGGAATTGCACGGAAGTCTCGATAAAGTTATCTGTACTAAATGTAAACAAATTGAAGTTAATGAAGAAAATCCGATTTGTGAGGCCTTACGTGGTAGAGGGTTTGTAATTATTTCCTTGTTTGAATAAGTATAAAAAGGGACGACTTAGGGACCCTAGTAAACGGGACCAAGATCATCCAATAATTCCACTTGAAGCACTTCCAAAATGTTCCAAATGCCAAGCACTAGTACGGCCTTACATTGTATGGTTTGGGGAAAATTTAGATCCGGAGGTTCTTGATAGATCAAGTAGTAACACATTTGTAGCATAAAATCTGTGTTAGTAATATTATAATTTCAGGACAATTGATTGAATCATGTGATTTATGTCTCGTTATCGGGACTTCTTCTGTTGTGTATCCAGCAGCTATGTTTGCACCTACTGTAGTCGAGCGGGGGAAACCCGTAGCTGAGTTTAATTTAAACGAAGATGCTTTTGATGATGCTTTTAGGTGATTGTTGCAGTCTGTTTTGATTTGACTTTAGTTGCTTTTTAGTTTTTATTTTTCTGGACCGTGTGGTGTTACATTACCCAAAGCGCTTGGAATTGATGTGAAGGGGTGAAGGTAAAAAAATAATAATATGGAATTTTTATTACATATGTAATTAAATTTAAGAACAATAACTTAGTAATTAATACACTGGACAAATGAGATTATGGAATGTGATCTTTTGGTTATTTGCATTAAATTTTTAGAATTTACTGTTTGGTCATTAAATTTGTACAAAAGTAATAAATAAAAGTGTTTAAATTGAGTCATTTTTAACTATTGCACTAGTTGGTACTTAGAAAAATAATCTGTATGAAAGTCTAGTTGGGTGTTATTGTCATTCGCTTGCTACCCTCGTGACAAAACTCTCCCAACCTAATTAAAGCTATGACAAGAAACATAATTGAAGGCATTTGTTATGGACAGAATTATATTTACAGTTTAGATGTCCCAACTGAATAAATGATGTTTGACTAACATATCACGAACACCATCCTTCAGTGGTTGGTTGTTAGTTTCTTTTTTAACGGGGAGTTCCCAATCAGGGTTTAAATTAAACGATAGTTGTGATAAAATTCGTAAATCACATTTTATCTGTACCCAACCTGGACTATAAACAAATGACCATGGATGGTACCTTGAAAAGTCTATTAAAACACTGAAAATTAACTCGATAAAATTACCATTTCTGAACAACCTCACTAGATGAACATAGAACTTCAAGCCATAAATGTAGAACTTGTTCGTTCAAACCCATACAAATTAAAGAGCGCAGTTTAACATCCATTTGAGCATGCGCGTTATCATGAGACAAGTTAACAGACTGGACACAGCGATACAGCAACTGAAAATACTTGAAAAATACAAATTAGTCATTCAATGAGAACTCACTTCTTCCGGAGTTAAAACTTTTCCGTCTTCATCTAATCTGTAAGTTTTGCAAAGAACTAGCCTACTATAAACCGAATTAAAGTCTTTTTCAACCTCTTTTGTTGCCGCTTCTTCTATGAAGAGCCAAGGATGGCAAGGTCCACCTAAAATTTAAATTACATTACATTAGGTAATGACAAAAAATATTCATTACCAAGAAAGTTAGGCCTTTTCATCCCATGTTCTAATACTTGTTTAATAACTGGACACAAAGTCCCCCTGACTAAATCTGTAACCGTTTCAGAAATGCTATCATCCCCGGCACTACTATATTGTTTACTTCTTTCATCTAATAATTGGACAAATTTTGCAGGAAACCACCCTCTCAATCCGTTTAATTCTCCCACCCAACAATGCTCATCTTTCTGACTTATTATAGTAATAATGTCGTTCTTACGAAAACCTAACTCGTCGTCATCATGACGTTCGAAATCTAAAACCAATTTTGTTTGACGTTTTTTTTTATTTTACTAAATCACCTAGTAAAGCTTTAGCCCGCCTTTTCCGATTTTTTGAAACATCTATATAATTGTCATGATCGGTTGCATGACTTTCCATTGAATAATCGGCAACTAAGGAAATTTCAGTGCTTAATTTCGGATCCACTTGCAAAAAATGACGCGCAATCTGTAAAAAATCAATATTTGTAATTTAAACACAATACATTACGTTCATATTGATATACCTGCAAAATTGCCTCTCGTAAGTCTACTAAAATCTCAGTTTGTTTGATATTTTTGCACTTAATGTCGTCTTCAGTGTTTTCGTTGAAAAGCAACAGTTGAATAACAGACTTATTTTTCTTAACTTGGCGCCTTGCTAGATGTTGTTTGGGTAAGTTAGGTGCAGCTTCAGGGTTGCCAACTAAAGCTCCTTGATCCGCCATAAGATATGCCAAATGTCGTCTCCTATAAGTCTCTATCATAACTTCGTTCAATGAAGTGGTCAAAGTTTGAGACACTTCAAATAATTTTTCTACATCATCTATATCTCCAGGAATGTCAGATAATGCGTTAAAAATTTGAGCAGAATTTTCGAGTTGTTTCAGTTGAGGTTCTTTCATTTTTAACATACTTAAAGTTACTTGAAATAATACTATAGATCCTTCAAAGAAAAATAAATCCCATAATCTCAGCAATATTTTCATATGGACAGCACTAGCAAATAGCGTTAAAAACCAATGTAACGTTATTAGAGATAATTCTATGTCATGATTTTTTAACGTTTCGTCAATATCTGGCAAAAAATTCGTTATTAATGTGCGTAACACTCTTTGGTCAGCTTGAATTCCTGAAAAAATTCTATAGATTTATTTCATCTAATTTAGGAGTTTTACCTAACAAAGTTGAGCTGTAATAAGAAGCAGGTAAGAGATCTTCAACTATTGTTACCATGATCCAAAACGCTTCTTCTTCTTCAAGAAGAAGAAGAAGCGACGCAGCAATCATTCCAGTCCCTTGGCAATACCTGCAACAAAAATGTTCGATTTTGTTTAAATGTTTAATAACTTTTACCCTATATCTGGATAAAGCCAAGCAATTCCCCTCAAAATCCGTCTCAACCTTGGGATTCCAGTACTATTAATGTGACTAAAACAGGCATTTGTTGGCATCGTGTGTAACAAATCTTTTTCAATTTGCTTTGAAGTCATTAAAGAGTCATTACTGGACATTTTAACGATGTCTTTGTAACTTAATTCCGACTGTTGTTTCTTCTCCAACGCTCCTGACATTCTCATCCACATTTGGGACCTCAAAGAGTGGGGAATCCCCGCTCTGACCATTGAGCGCAACTTGTCAGTTCTGGGCAACTTGACTTCGACTTTATCCCATGTCAAATCAGACACTTCCTTATTATGAGAAAATTCTAAATGAGCAACCCATTGAAGTCTATCTTGAGGGTCTTCCACAAAAGGGATTCCTAACAACTTGTTAGAATTTTGCTCAGGACCGTCCTCTTCGTCAACGCGAAACCCAAATTCATCAAATCTAGAATTATGACTAGTAACTCTTTATTAATCTAAGTTAGAGTACCTGTATTCTGGTTGGGAATTGGGGTCATCAGGAACTACACTTAATTTTGCCATGATGTCTTGGGGCCACATGCTAGGAGTTAAGGCGGAAAATGGACCGCCAGGACTAGGTGTAAGTAAATCGTTCATGTTTAGGCCCTCAGAGAAGTTTTCAATAAAGTAATCATCAACATCATCCTCTGAAATTGCCAATTCAATTTCACGTTTCTGCAAAAATTAATTTAGTGTGGGTGTTAGATAATTGGTTTTTTACTTACATTATGATCTTCTTTGCCCACGTAACCTTCACGGTCTCTATGACTAAAAATGGATTTTGCAATATCCATTTTTTCGACTTATTAAATATTCAGACTTTTTTACAACAAAATCAGATTTTTCCTAGCAATATAAATGGTGATATGGTGGTAACACTTTTATAAAAATAAATTCTCATTTCAGATAAGAACGGTCAATACAGCATAAATTAATAAATTATCTATTTGTGTTAAATAACAACATATGGGACAACAAATTTTGACGTTTGACATTTGGGGTGGTAATACAGTACGCTATAGTACCGATGAGCGAGCAACCCCTACTTTTATTTTAATTTAATTAGGACGAACAAGCCAACCAAGGTGCTTTAACTTTTTTAATAAAATATAATTTATATAAATGTTTAAAATAAAATTAATTTATCACATTTTCTTGATTGGTATGCAACCGCAATACTTGTAGCTCTATGATTGGCTACAATTTTTCTGTCGACAGATGGTGCTGTAAGTGGACATGTGTCAATTTTCAAGTATCAATTTTTGTGAATGTTGGTGATGTTGGAAGTTTGAGGCTTGAAATCAATTAAAATGTACAAATTTGCCGTTTTATTTATTTGTATATGTTCAGCAATCAGTGCAGAGCAAATAAATCAACAAGTAATTAACAGAAATGTCGAAAGAACGATCGATTTAACATCACAACTAGTCAAGATAACTGCAACCATAACCTTAGAAAATACCGGTAAAGACACAGTTCGAAATTACCTAATTGTGCTCGAACCGGATACTGTGGGTAATCTTTCTTACATTTCGGTGAAAGACTCCCTTAAAGAAGACTTGAAATTGGCTCCAAGCAAGTTGGAGAAGCACGAAAAGGATGTTTATAGTGTCCAGTTGAAGCAGCCTTTGACGTCAGGTCGCACGGCTGGAATCATCCTTGAAGCTGTTTTTACAAAGGGGCTGGTGCCATATCCCAGTAGCATAACGCAAAAAGAAAAGCAACTGGTCAGGTACTTTGGAAATCACTATTTTTATACACCCTATGTGACAACTAAGCAGACAACGAGCGTTACATTGAGCTCCAGAAGCGTTGAAAGTTACACAAAATTGAAACCAGTGAGTCAGTCAGACTCTAGTTTAACATACGGTCCTTATAATGACATTCCGGCGTTTTCTCAAGACCGCATGATTGTCCATTACGAAAATAACTCCCCCTTTTTGACTGTCACGCGTCTGGAACGCCTTATTGAAATTTCCCATTGGGGCAACATTGCCGTCGAGGAAAACATCGAGATTTTACACACGGGGGCCAAATTGAAGGGGCCTTTCTCCCGCTATGACTACCAGAGAGACACCAGTAGTAGCCACCACAGCATAAAATCCTACAGGACTATTCTTCCTGCCGCTGCTTACAATATCTACTACAGAGACAGCAATGGAAATATTTCAACGTCGCAAGTCCGCTCCCGCAAAGACTGGATTGAACTCGAATTGAGACCCAGATTTCCGCTATTTGGGGGATGGCGCAGTTCATATACCCTTGGTTACAACGTTCCAAGTTATCAATATTTGTACCGGAAATCAAGCACCGAATACGTCCTCAATATGAGACTACTTGACCACGTTTTCGATGATATGCATGTAGAAGAGTTGGAAACGAAAGTTGTTTTGCCTGTTGGAGTGACTGAAGTACAAATCAAAACTCCGTACGAAGTCCAGAGGTTGCCTGATGGGGTTACTTATAAATATTTGGATCAGTTCGGTAGGAGCGTTATTAAGTTAAGGAAAACCAATTTGGTGGAGCAACACATTCAAGATTTAGAAATCGTCTATCACTGGAGATCGGGATTATTGCTTCTTGAGCCGGTTCTGTTGGTTCTTGCACTTTACGTTTTGTTTATTATTGTTATAATATATGTAAGACTCGACTTTTCCATTCACAAACCTGAACACGCTAAAAAAGAATGATTTGTTAAAAATTGTTCACTATTTCATTTTGTTTCTATTCATAGTTTCTGTGTGCATTTGATTATAAAATAAATAACGTTTTCTACTAATTGTTTATTTTTTTTTGTTTGATTCCAAATATTAGTTGTGGGAGATGGAAGATGGACTTTGTTATTTTGCTATTAGTGAAAAGAAATGTTGGTTGCCTATCCAACTCACAGATCCAACTATAACCTCAAACACAAACAAAGTAAAGTAGGTTTTTTAAAAATTCAGAAACAATGAGATAATAATGTCTTTAATACCGGAAGATGGAGATCTGGAAGAGTTGGTGTTTGTGTGATTATCATATTTTTATTAATATTTATTATTATTACAGATATTATATCCATGAGTACTCTGATATGTACCGACATGAAGAAACCGCCTTAGATATTTGGAATAATTGTGTTGTACTCTCTATTTTAAGCGTAGCCCCTTCTGTACTCTACTTAGTTGTATCTAATTTTCTATTTGGATGTTTATTAACCACAGGTATATTTTTTAAGCTTGAATAATTTTTCTTGAATCTCACATTTTAGGCATCCCATCGTCAGTATTACATTTCACTACCGGATGTGTTGGTATTTATTTAGTATCTACACTAGAATCTCATTTTGGACAAATTGTTTTAATGTTTTGTTGGATTGTTTCCTATGTTTTACTTCATATAGGCTTTTATTTAAGAAGCTACTCTAAAACCTCAGTATTTCTAAAAATCACGTTTATACTGCTTTTAGTGTTATGGTAATCGTAATTGTTTTATGTAATTATGTGTAACGACTTTGATTTTAGTGAATATCACTTAATTGAGCCACAAGTGTGGCTGCAAATCCGCGGAATTGTCATGGTGTTGGTCATGAAAGTTTTGTCGCTAACGGATGATGTTAACAAATTAGACTCAATGCCAAGCTTTATTCAGTATTTTGGATACACCCTATGTGGGGCTAATATTATGTTTGGGCCCTGGATTTCATTTGGGGATTACTTGAATTTATACAAAAAAAACACAAAAAAGGTGTTGTGACTAACCACAATTACATATTTTTTAAACAGTTTTTTGTAGAATCTCATTTGGATTTGTGCCATTGTTAAAGTTCTCACTTCTTCCTTATTTTTTCTAACCTTGTCAAATTGCTGGAGCGCCTACTTCATATCAGATGACTCAAACCGGTATTTAAAACCAAATTCAATTCGATTTGGCTAAGTTTTTGTTTCTAGATGGCTAACAGCATACAAAGAAGCATTTGCCTTCAGGACAAGTCACTATTTTATTAGTTACTTAGCGGAGGTTGGGATGATTGCAGCTGGTTTTACAAATTCCTCAAAACGCGATTCTTTCAATCAGTACAGATTCATAATAACCGAGCCTCTGGAAATCGAATTCCCGTCCTCTCTATCAATAGTCGTCAAGAAATGGAACCAACCGATGCACGATTTTCTCAAAAAATGTACATAATCTACTTTTATTTACCCTCTTTGATTAGTTTTTTACAGATGTTTATTATTCCTGGTTGAGTTTTGGGAAATTTTACGCAATTGTTGCGACCTTTCTAATCTCATCGTTACTCCACGGCCTTGAACTCAAAGTATCCATGGTTTTAGTCTCAATTGGGGTATTCTCGTATTTACAAGTGGTGCCAAGGGACCGAATTGCCGAAATATTTGATTGTTGCGTGAGAGTCCGTCCTTGTAAAGACTGTAAACATAAATATAAACGTGATAATATTAGAGTTAGGATTATTTTACTCATTTATTCGCTTGCTACAGTATTTCATTTAGCTTATTTAGGAGTCTTGATGGACCCCTCAACTGACGAAATCGGTATATATGACAAGTGGCAGAATCTCTACTTTGTTAGTCACATTGTAATGTTTTTTAATGTAATGGTCATTTTGTGAATAAAATACTGCTAAAACCACATTTTTCTTGTTTCATTTAATTGTATAACCCAATGAAGCCAATTTCGCTAACTTTTTTAATCAAAAAAACTCACATAAAAAGTTCTAATACCACTACGCGTTTCACCAACTAAGTGGCATCATCAGGTTATAATTTAATTCGACTTAGTGTCGTCTAAAACAACACATGTTACAAAAAATAAGTACATGAAGGCATTTAGTTAACAGAAGACAAATCTTTTAAATGACGCGTATTAATTTTTTAATCCTTTTTGTTGAGAATACATTCCTAAAATAGATAATTCAATCAAATTTCATTAATACTGATAATAATTTATTAAAACACAACAAGGGTAGGTACTAATTTAATATACTAGGTGACATGAGAAATGTTCATCGTATAGGATAGGAGGATCATTTTATTAACTGATTTTATACCATACATAGTTTTTAATTCGATTATTTCATACAACTATAAAGGGTTCAATAATTCCCGATGTGAAAAATAATAATTGTGTGATTTTTGCGACGGGAAGACGCCGGAAGTAGGCAACCGCTTTAACGCGTTCGCGTTTCAGAGGTGCAGTAGATGAAAATATATAAATGATCCCGGTGAAGCAGAATACCCTGATTATAGTTGGACCCTTCCATTTATATTTTGGTCTTATGCTGGTTGAGCGCTGGTCGTCTCTTTCATTACTTTCGAACGAGAATCACGCATACTTTTTGGCTGGATTTTTGCAAAAGACAGCCATCGCTTGTCCATGCCCTAAATTAGTTGAATTAGTTTCTAATCAAATTGTGTGTTACTGGATTGTTAAAAAAGGCAATAGTTTCTAAAGTCAGCATGTTCGTCGTAACGTGGTAAGCTGTGTGTCGGCTAAAGTAACAAAAGTTCTATTGAGGTTTGACGCTACTACGAGCTTACTAACAATAGTTAAATGCCATTTGTTAAATGCTTTCAGAAATCCGATTTTTTATTACTTATTTACCTATAAAACGTAATGCTTTTTGGATTTCTGTTGTTTTATTGGCAATAAGCTGAAGAGTATAGCATGGTTTACTTTATTTTTAAGTAAGTTATTCATGTTTCTAAAAATGTTATTTCTAGCTATTTGTATATTGTTCTGGACTAGCGCGCGCTTCATTTAAATGCAAATCATCAATTACGCAAATAAGGCATTTACGATATTTATTTTCAGTAGTACTTTCCAATTGGAACAAAAAGGGCTCTAATTGCCCAAGTAATATTGTAATTTTTTACTTGCATCCGTGCAATTTACGAGATTTTCGCTTCCTCCCAACATCTGGGTCAATGCCGCATAGGAAAGTGTCACCGAAACACCAATTTTATCACTTTAATTAAATTATTTTTCTCAGCTGTTGGCCTTTTTCAACTTTTGTATTATTAGATGTGGAATCCTTTTTTAAATATCGTTTCCACGCATTGTTTTCGCTGTGACAAATTCGACGGAAAAATCTTATTCACACTTCTACTAAATAACAAGATGATTTAATTGATTTAAAAATAGAAAAAGCTGTTTAATTGTTCTGTGCTTACCTACATGATCATCTCTTAAAACATCGCAGGCTGTCATTGCCCGAAATGATATTTTATGATTAGTCCTTTTATTCATTTAGCAAATGTACATTAATTAAATTTCTATCAAAGGCTAAAACAAAAACTAATCCTATTTAGATAATGCCATTGTAGTGTGTCTGCCATTGCTACCAAATGATTATTTTATTTAAAGTACTGAAATTTTTATTAAGGTTATCGATTTGCAGGACTTTCAACGAATCTAAATGTTGAATTTCAAGCCAGCGGTAAACAAATCGATGAAATAAAAATGATTGTTGCCAAATAAAAAATTAAGCAATAATATAAAAATAAGTTAGGCTTTGGTGAAGAATGAGCGATTTTTGTATATTTTAATGGTTTTAATGAATATTATAATGATAATGAGGTGTTGAGTTTCGGGAAAGTTGATTAAAGGCTAAAGGATAAAGGGTTGGTATTGAGTGATGTGAAAAAAAGGAAGAGATAATAAATAATAAAGAGCGTTGTGGGAGTAAAAATCGTTATGAAATTTAGGTCGTATGTTGTGTTAGGTGGTAATTGCGGCAGGTTAGTTCGGTGGAGAGTGAGCAAGGGTGAAGTCGAACTAGTGTGGGTTTTAAGTGAATTGTGTAAAAACAAAAGCATTGGTCCTGCAGTGCAGCAGCAAGTCAGAAACGTCGGTCGTTAGTTGGCGTCGCACATCACTCGATGGCGCTGTGTAGTAGACGTCGAGACGCCGGTCGCCGGACGTAGAGTTTGTTAGCCGCCGATGCTATGCGGGGTGAGGTTCAAATCAAATACACGACTAGAAATGTTCGCGTGATAAACTAACATAATTGTGTTCAGAAAAATTCAATTTAATTTCGGTTCCCGCGTCCGCTGTAATGTCAGTGATACCGATATGGAGCGCAAATGTGCTTTAGAAACATCTTCAACTAACCAAATCCCACTTTGTTATGGATCCGACACTGTATTGCCCTGGTAAGAGCTTGCTTCAAGTGTCTGTTTAGATTCTATGTCCACCCACTCATCATTCAAATTTCGGCCGAAGAAGCGCCAAACACACCGATATGCAGAATTGTCGCACCGCGCCAACGCCGCCCACAGCCACATAATATTACTTTAGGGAAATTGCCGGACGATTTCCTGTGTTTACAAACGGAAGTCGTGTCATCGGACATCCTTCGTCTTTGAATGATTTCAATATATAGGCCAAATCACACTATACTCAAACCACGCCCAACACCGATCGATATTGTCCATGTAGGTTACTATACCTCTGCTTCCCATACTTACATCCTTTGAACATCCGAACTAGTCACCCATGCTCTGATCTTATTTCCTTTGACGACAAAGGATTGTCCATTTCATTTACAAGCATTACACCCTTTGGACACCACCAAATTAACCCCATGCACCCTTGCACATTTTTCCCCAATTATAACCCATCCCATTTCTATTTACATCACAAACTTTGCAACATCTGCAATTTCGCACTAAACAAAAAATACAAGAAATGACGAACGGTTGACACTTCCATGTGTCTACATCTGTTTTTCTATTTCTTCTCTCGTTCACTTGATCTCTTGATTACGTCCTGTCAATCTCTTCTAGATTCGTTCAATCGCTCTAATACTCATTCAAGCGAATAAACTTTGACTTAAATCAGATTGATTTAGGGCCAAGTCCTTGTTTTATGGACCTTGCAATGTCACGTTAAGACGTTCATTAAGATACATCAGTATACCCGCAATTATGCAAATTTGTTTGCACATAGAACTTCACTGTTGACATATGTCCGATATTAACCAGATATATAATCGCCAAAATATACAACAAGCAAAGCGCAACACAAGATTTACTCCTTTATGGCGCTATTCTTCTAAAGTGACAAAAGCACTTCACTTAACTACGTACAATTAGCACTCTCCGCTAAACCAAGCTTTGCGTCACTACCAAAGCTCCGGGTAATCTGTTACAGAGACTATTCTCTTATTTTTTTCAAAATCAATAGTACCGTACGAATTGGGGGCTATAAATTAAAAATGATCCTTTTACTTTTCCTAAAAAATGCAGACAGGTTGGCAGTCACGTTAAATCCAGAGAAATTTATAATTGAGTTGATTAGTTTTATGCAATGAAATCGAAAAATATTTGTAAATGTCAGGCGTGATTTATTCGCTAATATGGTTTGGACATGTTAGCTTTTCAGCAAGCGATGCATGTGCACTACTGTATCATTTGTATGACCTATTTTGTATTGTGCTAAACCGACGATTATTTTAATCAAAACTACTTTACTGTCGAATTCAAACACTGTTCTCCTTTTTAATAAGGGGAAAATGCCGGTATCGTTGCTAATGTCTAATTCATGGCGATTAATTCAATAAATTTGAAGGAACTGAAGGAAGCCTGTCATTTGACGTTTCTCAAGGATTAGGTAAACTTCCTAAAACCTCATCCCTAATAGAATTAGCTTTACGTAATTACTAAAAGTTGTTTGGTAACATGGTAAAGTGAATTGAACATATCTCGTTATTAAATTATATCATAGGCTACATCTTTCATAAGTCATTTTCTACCCTAGTTAAATTTCAAGCATCAAGATTTACTTGACGTGTATTAAAACAAGCCAACAGTTCTCCTTCTTTTTGTTAAAACCCATTTTTTGAGCTTTTTTCTGATCTTAATAAATCTGAATTATTGAATTGAGTTCATTCGAAAAAGAAGTGGAGTTTTAATTTAAGCTCACTCAGCTATTAGAGTTTATTTTAATGATTGATCTTCAATTCCCCAAATTAGCCGCTAAATAGAATCAAATTAGGTAATGTTGACATTTTCCTCACCTAGTTCAAGTTCACACTAAACCACTCCAAATATAATTGCATCAATTTCAATCAGGAGAACAGAAATAGATAGTAACTGAATAAAACACTAGATTAAGTTAGAACTGAACGATTTGGCATAATTTGGCAGAAAATCAATACTTACTATTATAAGCAATTAACGTACCGTAGGGTGCACACCTCTTTGCTGCAATCAGCATTTCTCCATGAGAACAAACTGACAGGTTCGACTCAACCTCATGCAAAAGTTACATTTTATCGAGTTTCCACTTCACTTAACACAAAGGAATTAAAGATGACTTCAATTCAGATGTTATAACACGTTTCTTCGCAGTTTGGTTAACAAACAATTACGACAGATGGCTTAAAACAAACAAAAATATTTTGCATCAATATTACGATTCTTTAATTAACTGTTTCTCTTCTAATCCTTAATCAGTCAAAGTAGAATAAAACGCAATTTTACGATAAAACCATTTCAAATTCATTTTACGTCGAATTTAATGGAAATATAAAGAAATGAAAAAAAAGAGTGAAAAGCATATTATTGATTGCGAGATTTATTCTGAAATGAAGCGCAAAATTGTCAGCAGGATATTCATTTTTCCTCGCGAT